TTTTTTTTTTTTTTGATGAAGTAACTTTCACAATACAAATAAGTAACTACAACAAGTAAAAGGAAGAGAAAAAAAAATAATGGAAAGCTTAAGATAAGCAGACATGCTAAGAAATAATAGACACACAAATTAAATCCGCTCAAATGCACGTATAACTTACAAATTCTGGCCACATTGGGGTCTTCATCCTGTATCTCATCAGCAGCTTGAAGAATCGCATTAATGTTGGTAGTCCGCTGAAGAGAATCGGGAACGGAACCTGCGATGCCACTAGGTTTCCTCGCGTGTCCAGGACCGGTCTGCCGGAGCTGCTCCCTCCGCAGCGTAGCTCGCACCAGCCTCTCCCAATTATCGTAAACCCTCGCCATTCTCAAAAAAAATAAAGGAACCAAAACCCTAGGGCACTACGTGAAGGAACCAATCAACTTATCTTTGTAGAACCCTACTGTTAGTTCAAATTCAATTCAAACGTCAGATCTATGAATTGAAGTGAATCGGTGAATATGTCAGGTTTTGGTTTTTCATTTTCTTCTCTCAGTTTTTTCTAACGCGTCGTCGGAATTTTCTTTAAAGCTCAGTCTTTACCATGTAGATAGTAATCACCTGTGGTTAAGACTATGTCGTTGCTGTGTTTCTCCCGTTTTGATTCGTCTAAAAGGGACCTTGTCAAGAATCTTGGACTTTGACCGAGATTTAAGGGCTTGCTGTTAGGTTGATTTTTCCGCTTATAATACGGTGGTCTAGACACTACGGTTGCTTAATCGCGTTGCATCATTTACTATACAATATAGTGCAATATTATTTTTTGGTATATTTAGCTAAAATATATAATTATTTTTATCCGATCAGTCAAATATATAACTTATCCAATTTGAACCAATCTACGATCCACTGTTAATACTTTTCTTTGCACCTTCGATACGTGAACTGCCTGACAATAACTTAAGCAAGAAGACTTTTTAGGCCATTATTTAAATTGGATAAAATAGTTAGGTAGAAATTACTTCTTTTGGATAATAGTTTTTTCGTTCACTTTTACTTGTTCACAATGAACTTTATACTCCACTTAAGAAATAATAAATAAATTATATATATTACTATAATACTCATAATAATGATAGCATTTCATAAAGTTTTGCCAATAATTTGGGAAATGAGTAATTAATGATAAGGGTAATCAAAAAAAAACTATTTTTCTCTTGATTTGTAAAAATAAACAAGTAAAAGTAATAATATATTTTTTTAGTATAGTGGACAAGTAAAAGTGAATAGAATGATATTAAATTGAGTCTACTATTTGCTCATAAAATTTCCAGTTTGCTCACAAAATATTAGTATGTCTTCTAATATTTGCAATAAACTTAAAAAAACTAGATTGTGCCCTAACGTTACAATATTTTAGACGGTGGCCTACGATTTCTTATAAGATTTTTAGTTTACTCATAAAGAATTTTTAGATCGTAATCTAAAAGGTCCATCAGTAGCAAGTTGCAACGTAAATAAAATTTAAAATAAAAGAAGAGATATTTACTAAATAATTGATACAAAAGGGACAATTGGTGAATTTTTGGGCTAAATTTCCCCATTCCAGTTAAGTACTTCATTTTCAAATGAAATACAAAAAAGTTAATATTTACATTTGGCTAGTCATCAACTCTCAAACAAAGAAAATAATAGTGTCATTAAAAAAACATTTAGGTATATGCTAAAGAATTGTGTTATAGCCATATACATTGATATATGCTTTAACTTCTTGTAGCGGAGTTAAACGTGTGATATAATTCTGAATCAATATTAAAAATTTAATCCAACTCTAATTATGTTCCCGCTAGGTGTTGTATGTCCATTTATTGTCGAACATTTCATCCGTTTAAGTTTTTGACTGCTTTTAACCAAAATTATGCGATAGTAAAATTAAAGTTGAGGCTAATGATTATTATCCACGTGCAAGTTTACTATTGTAGTGCTCAAAACGGGCCAATAGGTCACAAAGTGTTCATCTGGCTCATATATATGCAGATTGGCCAAGCATCTTTTTCACCTAAAGTTCTTCTTTCTTCTTTTTTTACCAAAATTTCTTTTTTTGGTTGGCCAAACTTTTAGAAGGAAAAAGTATTTTTGAGTAGAAGCAAAGCAATTTTGCGAAACAGAAAAAAATAATTTTTTCCCATAAATATTTTTTTGAAAAGTACTTCAGAGAAAAATACACTTAGAAACACTTTTTTTTTAAATTTGACGCAAGACTAATTGCTACTCAAAAGTAATTTTTAAATTAATTAGTTGTTTATCCGTAAAAAAGTACAGTTAAATTTATACGTGATTTATAGACAAGTGAATTAACTTGATCCTAAAATAATAGATGAATTAGACGAAAATGTAATACTTAGCCTTGAGATGAAGATAAAATAACATAAATAGCAATTCTAGGAGCAAGTGATACGTACGCGGAAGCAAAATAACAAAAACACAAATAAAATGATAGAAAGGTAGAGATTTAGTAGAGAACCAACTAAGGAAATTAAAAGAACTTTTGAAATAAACAAATACCCAATCAATTTAAAACTTAATTGACCCAAAACTATAGGAACAACCGTCAAGGGAAAGCAATCCCCTTGCAAGTTCACCTTAACAAGTAATCAACCAACATAGGAATTCATCCTAAGCACTCTTAATGAGTTTTCATTCACAATATCAAAATAAGTTAACCCTAAAACGAGAGCCTTAAGGCTATTTATACTAGGGAGCTAAATATTACAAATATAGCCACTAAATGTAGTATAGTCTTTAATTGCTGGCGAAATTATATATGTAACCGTCCTGTTATGAAAGTAACCTCCAACGCTCCATGGCTATCTAGATTGTATCATCCTCCCTCCCTTAAAAGAAATCCGTCCTCGAATTTGGACCTTTAAACAAAATAAAGGGAGTTTCATTAGTAAAATTTTAACTTGGACATAAGCAAGTGCCTCAAACTAACAAGGAAACCATAATTTAGCAAATTTATGGTAAATCCAAGCATCCAAACCAATAAGTAAGATAAATCTACCATTCAAACTAAAATCTAATGATACTCATGGACAAAACAAAGCATAGAAGCTACCCAAAATATGAGAATTGTCATGAAATACCTCCAAACTACACACCAAGTGTGCCCCAATATAAGAATCATCAAGAAAAGTATTAACTCTCATAGCTTTATCAAGTCCAAGCATAAGCATAAGCCAAATAAACAAGTCATTCTTGAATTCAAGCCGGCATGAGAAATCAAGAATAAGAATGGTATGTTGAAATAAAACAACCGAGGCTTCACCAATATTATCATTCAAGAAAGATTTAGCATGTTTTTTTTAAACTTATAACAACCAATCTAAATGAAAGTTATCAACTTGCTTTAAAGTCAAAGTACTAGTGTAGTAGAACAAATTAGCTCTATCAAATATATGAGTGGAATAAGTTAGAGAGTTTACGCCAAGTAAAGAACTTTCTTCTTTTTCAAAAAGTTTAGCTTCCAAAGCAATCTTATTAGTAATCTCAAACGACTTCTCAAAAATGGAACCTTTGATTGCTAAATCCAAATCAAACTCAAAAGATTACATATCACAATCAAACAAGAAAGAATCAAATGGCTTAAAACTTGAAACTTTATCACTCAATTCACCTTGAAATAAGCAATCATCACTAATTAAAGAATGATCCTCAAAATAAAAAGCATGAACAATAGGAATCAATGGGTCAAACTCAACAAAATCACATAAAGGTGCAACCTTTACGTTTTCCTCAACCTCAATCAATTCTTCTTCATAAGCAAATAGGTCATTCAAACCATCAAAACAACTAGAATCACTATCTAGTGTATCTCCACAACTCAAAGAATCATTAGAATTAGTAAATGTACCCAAACTAACACTTAAAATATCACTATGATCATCACAAGAAGAAAGAGTGTTAGGCTTAGCAATCATACCTTGATGCAATTCTAAAAATTCTATTTTACCTCCTTTAAGAATGGAAGAATCTTCACTTTGGGCTAGGGTGGCTTCGGTCACTTCACTTGGAGTTCTTTCTTGAAGACTTCCGCTTGAATTTTTCTTCAAAGGATCTACACAATAAGCCAAACAACTAGCAAGAAAAGCATTAGTCATGAAAGAATTATAAGAAGAATGTCCCTCACTTGAACTCTCTTGTTTTCTCTCTTCTTTCTTTTCAATCTTTTCTTTTCCTTCTTTCTTGACTCTCTCACTCAACTCTTTCATATGCCTAGTCTTCACTCACATGAAACGGAGTCAAAGGAGTAAGGACTATTTTTTTGCCATTTTCCTCAAAAGAATATTTATTAGTCCTCCCATCATGGAGAGCATTCTTGTCATATTACCATGGCCTCCCCAACAATAAATGACATGCTTGCATGGGCACCACATCACAAAGAATATCATCAATATATTTTCCAATTTTGAAACTCACCAAGACTTGTCTATTCACTTTAAGTTAACCACATTCATTAAGCCATTGGAGTTTATAAGGATGAGTATGACTTTGCGTCTTCAAGTTCAATTTGTCAACCATAGAAGCACTAACAACATTAGTATAACTACCACCATCAATAATCAAATAGCACACTTGATCTTTAATCTTACACCTTCCATGGAACAAGTTCTCTTTTGGTTCATATCTTCCATCACTTGAGCACTCAACACTCTCCTAACAACATACAAAGGTAAATTAGGAGTGTCACATTCCACTTCATCATCACATTCGGCCTCCTCTTCTTCATATGATTCTCTACTTTCTTCCCTTTCATAAGCTTCTTCCATAAGGATTATGGTTCTTATATTAGGACATTCACTCATTCTATGACCATATCCTTGACATTTGTAGCACCTATTAGAGTTAGGATTTTGAAAATAGGGTTTAGAATTGTTACCTCGCTCCTTAGCCTCCACCTTTGGTTTGCCTTTGTCATTTTGCCACTTGGAGTTAACTTTTGACTTGTTTTCATTTGAAAGAGATTGCCAAGTTTCCTTGTTTTTTCTCCATGAAGTGTTGTAATTTTTGGATTTGCTCTCTTTGAGTTGCCTCTCTTCTTGGAGTTTATTTTCAACCTTGATAGCCCCTTGGAGTGCCTCATGCATAGTAACAAATTTGTACAAAGTCATTTGGCTATAAATTTCATGCTTAAGCCCCGCCAAAAATTTAGAAATCATAAGTCTTCCATTATCATCAAGATTGGCTCTAACCCTAGTGGTTTCCAACTCTTCAAAGTAAGCCTCCACATTCTTATTTCCTTGCTTCATATTATAAAATTTAGTAAGCAAGTCAATCACATACTCTTCGGGCACAAAATCTTGCTCATAACCACCCTAAGAAACCCCCAAGAATCAATAGCAATATCTCAATTTCTATTTCTATCTCGTTTCTCTTTTTCCCAACAAGTTCAGAAATGACATGCTTGAACCTCTTTGTATCGGATACATTGTTAAGCTCAAACATCCTTTCCATTTGTATTTTCCATTTTAAAAATTCCTCGGGGTCACTACTTCCCTTGAAAGTAGGAAGTGAAGTCT